CGTGTCAGCGACATCGTGATGGCAGTGTTGTGGGTTGTGAACAGAAGACTGGAATTATCGCCGATGTGACCGTGCGTTCGCGTATCAGTGGTGTAACAACAAGATGAGATAACGTAAGCTGTCGGACATTGATGCCGCTGGTCGGGCCGTGATCGGAGGGGGCGGGGTGTCGCAGGATGACATTCGGCTTTACATTAAAGAGTTTAAAACCACTTGAGGGATTAGGTGCAGTCGATCGACGAGCGGATAGTCATGTTGGAACGCTGGTCTGAACGGTAAGCTCCTATCGTACAGTGGCCAATGTGACTGTCGGTCCCCGAGAGCGATTGCGCTCTGGAGAAAAGACTGAACAGTACGAAAGTACCGTATTTTCCGGGCTATAGTCCGCGGACTATACATGTTTAAAAGTTGAAATTTCTGGCTGTGCGGACTATCTACGCATGCGGATTATACAGGAATTATGTTTTTCAATATCGTTGATTATGACGAGACGGGACGGAATTTGTGAATAAAAGAGTATGTTATTGATAATTTATGTATATTATAGACTTTTTTTGTGAGCTAAGAAAACATACGTATGTCCAGGTGTGCCGCGTATGAGAAGAATTTCGTGTCGACTTAGCACCAGGTGCGGACTATGCACTGGGAAATGCACTGGGTGCGGACTATGCAGCGGGTGCGGACTATCTGAGCAAAAACTTTCATTTTTCACCCCAAATTTGCCTCTGCGGACTATACCCCGGGTGCGGACTATAGTCCGGAAAATACGGTATGACGGAAAGTACGTATATTTACAATGGAAGTTTAGCATAAAAAAAAGGTAAAATCGAAAACCAAAAACAAAAAACGCTATCCTTTATTTTACTGTTTAAATATATTACGGTTCCTGTAGAAACTGCCCTCCAAGTGGCGCGCTGGGATGAGCGCTAGACGCTTTCGAGCTCGCAACGGCGTAGCTCGGTACACTTAACAGTTGCCGCAAGTCGCGGCTTTGACTGCATTCAAGTTGATCGAAAAGCGATTTCTCTGCCCGTGAAGCATCACTTCCAGCTGAGTGAATATCCGCTCTACAAAGATTAATTCAAGACGGCAATTGCAGCCGTGCGCGAACAGCACAAATAGAAAAACAAACACTACAATATAAATACTGGCTACGAAGGGCCGTGCGGGAAAACAAACTCATGGCTTCGAACCACATTGGAGCGGCTCGATTTATTGGCTTTCAAATAATTACGGCATGATCAAGCGTTTTCGTTTTAATAAGAGATTCATCCCCTGAGTCATTAAAAGTAGTCTCAGATGTATGACATTGCTGGAAAAAAATGAACATGTTCGGAATATTTTTTATTGCTTAGGGAGTCACCGAAAAATTCCGTACGTTCAAAACGACCAGTATAAAAGAAGGAAACGCAGGGCTCGGGAGTAGTGATTGGGGTAGTGTGCTGTAGTGTTGATGTCTGTATGTGCGATGCCTTCATATGCGCTCAATATATGTTCACCTGATGCTTGTAGTGTCCGTAACGTGTCTATATGTGTTAGAGATTCCCGAAGAAAAGAAAGCGCAATTGTGGCGTAAGAAAATAAAAGCTTTTTTTGTAAAACATGAATTGGGTGGTACCTAGCGCCACCTAGCCTAGCTACTCGCGATTACTCTGCTTGACCCTGCCATCTGGTGGCAAGCGATTTAACATCCTTTTACGCTACGCGGCTACGCCATAATTTCGTGTTACCGTGCTGAGATAAGCCAAGAGGTTGCTTCGGATTTGCTTTTTTTTTAGAGCGGCTTTTGGTCTTGCGGGCCAATGGTTTTCACTCCTCCGTGATGTGCGGTTGACGCAACGGTTGACGAAGGAATTGTGGCTCGAGGAATAGCGAAGGTAAGACATAAAGTGCGCGAACTGGGTGCCGGTTGTCTCCGTTGAACATCGCAGTGCAGACGATGAGAAGACCGAGTGACTGCATGCATTCGAAACGTAACTTTCTTTAACTGCAGGGGTAAAGAAACTTCGGAAATAAATACAGCTCGCGGAAAGCTCTTGTTACGTTTTTATTTGGTGCTCCTCTCGCTTCGTACAATAGACTTAATGTTCTCGTTAAGCCTTATCGAGCTCGATTTGCTCGATTCGTGGCCGCCATGAGATGCAGTCGACGGAGGAACTTTTGCTCCCCTGCTTAAGGGACGAAAGTTTCTCCCTTTCTGAAAGAACATATGTTTCAAGAGCGTTCCTCCCTTTAGGGAGGACTATACTGACCCTTTTTTCTAAGAGTGTACCGTGACTGTTCCTGCAACCCGAGCGATATCCCCAAGAGGTGACAACCGACGCCACTGCTGGCCTCATGTAAACAACACTGTTTCCATGGTGGTACAGAGGGCCATTTGGCACGCAGCTGTTATGCCAGGCCTGACAACAACAATGAATGAAACATCCTTATACGTGTGCTTTAATCGATGACGTTTGGGGAACTGGTTGTTAACTCTGAACCCTGCGAAAGCACGTATCAACTAAATAGAGGTTGAGCAAGCAACGCCACTTATCACGCTCAGAAAACAAAATCGCAGGATGTACATTTTTTAAATGGTTTAGATTCGTAGTCGTTTGTGGTTATCATCAGCTTTTATAAGTAAGCGGAATTACCTAATACATAGAAATCTGCAATCACACTACAGCAGCGCAGTGCACATGCCTTAAATGACGGGGTTTTAAGTATCAAAGGCATCTGTCATTCGCAAATTGAGGTTGCAGGCGCCAAGACTGTACTCCCGGTATTAGTCATTTGTGGTATAACATAGTAGGGCATTCATAGAATTGACTATCTAATTAAATAAGGATTCCACTCTCACTTGCCCAGACAATGGCGCTGCTCTGTGACGCGTCATTTTTCTCGAACTTTAATGCAAATGTACGTCCCCCCCCCCCCAAAAAAAAAAAAGAAACAAACTTTGAAGCATGCCAAGGGCTACCTACACTTATCATGATGTGTGGCAAGTAACATTTTATAAGGCTATTCCTTTCAATAGCATTGGCTTCCAAATCACTGAAGAAGCGGACGTGGAAAATTCGAAAATAGCTGTAGGTCTCGATAATTTACAGAAAAATATTTTTTTGACAGGGAAATTCCAACTAATTGCAAAGCAACATTACAAAATGTTTTCGAGGAGCTGACTTTGCCCACCTTATGAAAAAATAAGAACATTCAGGGCGTTTGCTTTCAACTCGGTCAAAATTGTTTTCAGAACCGAGGTGAGGGTTAGACGCGTGCCACCTCCACCGTGTATTTATCAGGCTCAACAGACATTCGGTAAAGGGATAATCTTCTTGTTAAGTTGGCTAACTGAGAAATAATTGTTCAACAGCCGTTTAAATATTGTTTTAGGCCTGACGCTAGAATTACAATAATGACAACAATTACTATTTAATTTTGAACCAATTTAATAATAGGTAAAAAGATAATCGGTTATAAGATACGAATTCGCAATTTTTGCCCAATTTGTATTGTGCTCTCGAAAACAGCGACACAAGCCACAACGATGCTCGAAAGAACGATGTACTCGTTTCAATCATGTTGTCACTAGAAAGTTTTAGCATTGTGTATAAAAACACGAGCGCTGTGTGTTTGCGTTAGCGTCAGCGTTGCGTGCTGGACGCAGCCGATGCTCGTCTTCGCCGTGCGCCAATCCCAGACAGCAGCTTGGGCTCCGCGCACGAACTTACAACACAGAACGCTAACGCAAACGTAACGTGCTTACATCCAGCCGTATACGCGACACTAAAACTCACAACTGTATCAGCAGCGTTCATTTGGTGAGTGCGCCGACAACACAGCTGATGAAAACAAATGAGCCCTTTTGCTTCAAAATGTGTTGCCTTTTTTTTAGTTCTTAATTTATTTTTACATGACTGTGTGCACCCCAGATTGTTAACTTTTGAATTTTTTATTGCATTTCTTGTAATGACAGCCTCGAATAAAACGAGTGCAGAGTTTCTCCCACTAAAACGTCCTTGATACTTCGGTCTTGACATATTTTTGTGACAAACGCTAAAAAATCGTCTGAACGTTTCCTTCTAAATATTTCTTTTAAAATTCTCCTCAGCCTCCTGTTTATTTTGAAAATTAACATCAACATGAACTTGTATTTATTTCACCACTTTTTTACCAAGGACACCAGACAAAAAGACATAAATAGAAAGCTTTTCTTCTGGTGTCCTCGGCGCAACCTTCGTTGTCCTCTGCACCGGACAAAAAGCTTTCAATCCAAGGTTTTTACCCAGGTGCTTCGACAGAATCATAATATTAAAAGAAATGTCGCAGGCAGTGCTCACTTTTTGCCCATTAACTTCAGATTCCTCAAGTTGCACGAGGTCTACGAATCACTGGGTTCAACGTAAAAATCTCTTGCACATCTCTGCGACAAATTGTTGGTGCAAAAAAAAAGTGTGTACTATAACAAACAAGAATTTACAACATTATGTCTTTTAAATTGACGTTATAGAAGGCCATCCCCAGCTCCACGCGCTCCATATGAAGATATATGAAACTTTACTTGAGGGCTTCATAATAGTCACCTCCCCTGAAGAAATTGTAAGGCTGGGGAAATAATGTAGAGTTGATTGGAGCATGCACAGAACAGTGCAGCCTATCATATTGCCTTCTGTCTCACTGGTGTCAATATAAGTTAAAATGAACACACAAACTCCCAATAGACTTTAATAGACCAATATTACTAAGCGTTTCATGCATTTGTGACGCCGCCGTGAATGTGGTTCACGGGGGACAGGCGCGCGTGCAAGAGATTGCTCGTGCCGTCTCGTGCTCGGCTCGCGCAGAGCTCCAGAGGGGTTGTCGCGCGTGCAGAAAGACTACCGTTCTCATGACCCATGCGGGCAGCGGCGGCGCAACAAAACTAAATGGTGAGATTGGTCTATTCGAGGCATGCAATTTTTTTGCTGGCAGGGCACATTTTGCAATAAGAAAACGCTTATGTCACGTAAGACACTTACCACATAGTTCAATATCTTCATCCATCTCGTCACTTGCATCACAGTCAGGATATCCATCGCAGACGACGTTACTTGGCCAGAATAGGTTGTCATCATGTGGACAATGGTAGATATTTTCGTCATATTGAAATTGTTCTGAAAGCGGGACAATGTTAGCTGTTACATAATTTTAAAACAGAACGTAAAAGCGCACGTGAGCTAGTGTATACTGAAAATTTTGAGGCAACCTTAGACTGAGGATTTCGAAAGGTTTCACCAAGAGATGAGGAGGAGAACGTCTCAATACATTCTCTCTCTCTTCTCTTGGGGTCACCTTCGGAATTCCTCAGTCTCAAAATCTTCAAAATGCATTTTAATTGATTTTGTTTTTTTGCCTCATCTTCAAACACATCTTTTACTCCAGAATTCAAAAATAAACTCAGAGGCAAGTAAAGTAATATCAAGTAGATTTTTATAAATTATATTATACAGAAACGGAGAGCCAGCGAAGTCCATACTGAGTTGGCTAAATTTACTATCTACCCCATGAAGCCTAAACCATGAATCGCGTCATCATGTCTGATATGTAGAGCTACTTCACGCAGTCTAAACGCTTGAGTTGAATTTGATTTTCATTCCACAAATAAGCACAGCGTACTGTTCAACATCTACTCACTAGCACTGCATAACAAAAGTATTAGGCCGGTACCAATGTCAACTTCTCCTGCAGCATTGCCGAGCACCTGATTGTATACACCGTCAGTTGCCCACATCTCAACTAACATCTTGTCAAACCAAAATGCAGATAACGGCGGCTACAACCGTTAGGGATTTTCGTTTTGTTATTGCTACTAAAAATCTAGATATTGTTTTTTTTCAATTTATAAAAATCAATACGCAAGAATGCACACTAGGGAGTGCAATCGCACACTACACTACGTCTTCAAGCTGGACCAGGAACCCTGGTTCAGCTTCGTGAATATAGGCACTGGAAACCGATCATCAGGCGCTCTTGAATTTTGTGCTCAGGAAACATTATATTGATTTTGTTTTGCTGCAGGGCGACCAGATTAGCGGTTGTAACGTTCCGTTCAATTTAAGCGACATCAAGGAGTTTTGGGTGATACTAGAATGTTTCCAGCAGGAATGGGCAGTATCGCGATACAAATGTATCGCGATAGTATTTTAGAAATACATTTCGTATCTGTATTTCTGTATCGCGATACATTTTTTAACCAGTATCTGTATTCCTGTATCGAAATACATTTGGAATGTTCCTTTGTATCGCGATACAATCACGATGAAATGTATTTCGTTACATTTCTTGAGAAATACTCCCCCCCCTCCGCTCCGAAAAAAAAAAAGCAAGTCCGAACGCATTTTTTTTTTATTATTACTTCTGAGGGCATCAGAGTCAAGGAGATTGTTACTATGCTGACCAAGGTTCCTTTTGATTCTGCAAACTATTTTTCTATGCGTCCTCTTCTCTCCTCTGAGAAGTGTCGCATAGTCGGGGACTCGAACCAGGTGGCGCGCCAAGAGTGGAGTCAGAGCATCTTCTGCCGCAGGCCCTTAGGTAGGGATTTATTGAGTCATTGTTTGCTGGCATCCAATGCCCGCTGCTAACCGTCTCCCTCTCCTTAGCATACAGAGTACACCCAGCCGGCAAAGCTCAGTCACATTCCGTTGCAGCACGAGCCTGGTGGTGGTTAACTTGAAATAGTAGGAAGGCTCACGCTGTGAAGTTCACACATATTCGAACTCATCTGCGGCTGCGCCCGTAACATTGCACGATCCAAGGGTACGTCATTAGCGAACGTGCACGTGACCCGCTGCTCTGGTGATCCGAAACCCAGAACGAGGCCAGAAGTGGCCTCGCTGTGCCATCCCAGACTACGTACTCCCGCGACTCGTCTCGAGACCGCTGTTTCTCGGACAGCTCGCACCTGTGCCGGCAATATCAGCTCGCAATCCACGAGGTATCTGTTTGGATAATGCTAGGCAAAACTTGAGAACTGCAATCCGTGCGTCAGTGGCGGAGGGTCGGTAGTAAGGACCTTCAGAACAGGGATGCTACCGTATCGTTTTTTCAACCTTAAAGGGGGACCAGCAGAAATATTCTTCCGCCTGGCGGAAAGTCCTCCTCGCCCTCTTTCTTTCTTGTATTGTAGCACGGTGAGGCGAGGGGAAAGGTCCCCTTTTGCGCCGGCTTCTTCTCAGAGGATAAGCCGAGAAAATCCCCATTCTGAGCGACGGGTGATGGGTGCGGCAGCAGCGACCTCGTGACTTACAGATAGCTTCAGCTCCTATCGCCTAATCTGCCCCATTTTTCGGCGCTCACCAAGCCTAGCCCCTCGGGTGTAGGTTTTACGGAGCTGCAAGGCTGCGCCCTCGCAGTCACCGAATATCAGCTGTCGATGGTCTTTGGTTTAGCCCGTGGCAAAGTAAACGCATACTTGAGAGCTGCGATCCATCCCCGCACCCATTGAAGGAACGTTTCATAGATATTTTCGGTTGATCAAGGAGCTCGAAACATATGCGCGAGAAGTGGTGACTTGAATATCTAAGGATGACTTACATCTTCACAAAACATTCCATCTTCAAAAAGAAAACGGCTTATCACGCTCAAACCTGCCTCAAATTGGGATCGATGGAAAAGAAAACGATGTACCAGGCGCGCGCATCTTCTAGAAGGTATCTGTTTTCTAGCAGCGAGCACAAATATTGTGTGCGTAACTCACACTATATGATGGCCGACGAATGTAGGCGACATTTATATTTACGCATCCCAGCAACCACATGAGGTGAGAAGGCAGCAATGGTGTGTGTCCATACTAAAACGTTTTAGTGGATCGTCTTTAGCTCTTGGATAACCGCACCCTACAACAATATATAAGCTATAACCTTTCTGTGAGCCTTCTTGATCGAGTGCGGCTATCGAAGCGTCTGGTGTTGTAGTTCAACGTTGCTTAAATCGGTGCTATAGCACGTGCAGCCACTTTAAAGTATTTTTGAGGCATTCAAAATTAAAAAAAAAAAATCAAATGTAGCCGATTTTTTTAACATAATACGCGTTTGTAATTTGTCTTTGCAAACAGATATTAGGTATACTACCACACAGTTAGCACGGACAAACTATTGCCGGTCTTTCTGATTTTGTTTTTTTAGAAATAAATGATATTTAGAAGACTGTCAATGCAACTATCCAACCTAAGTGGCAGAGCTCAGTGCTAGACAATACATGTTGCTGGGCAGAAATAGTAAAAAGCGCCGATGTCGCGTTCGGGCTAAAAGTGCCACGTAATGCACGCGTACCGCTACAAGTGCGTCCGGACATTTCATCGAACGCCGTTTCATCGAATGCCGTTTCATCGAACACCGTTTCATCGAACGCCGTTTCCTCGAACGCCGTTTCATAGAAGCCGTTTCATAGAAGCCGTTTCATAGAAGCCGTTTCATCGAACGCCGTCTCATTGAACAACGTTACAGTCTGTAATATTTTGGAATTTACTTTAATTTTTATACACAACTTCATCTAATTCTCTCTTTTTTTTGTCTGTTTTTATATCACTGGGTGCAGTGGCGAGATAAGTTCCATCGTGAACATATCCTGCTTCGAAAAGGAAGCCTCTATGAAACAATGACCCCTCTCCAAGTCACATGAAACAATTAAAAATGAGGCAAAAACAGAAAGCACAGACGCTTAAAAGTGTTTTAAGTCTCTGTCCTTTATTTGCAGCGTCCTGGTTTCAGTCGTGTATGTACATGAGTAAAGCTTTTCAGTAAGTCGCATACCGAATTATTTTTATTTCTTTTTATGCCAATTGCTTTTATTTTTAGTAATTTGACACCACCTTCAAAACAATTTCACAAGTGACTACCTTAGTCTTAACAAATGAGAGGTGGAACAACTATAAAGCACTGTTATGCCCCAAAACTCTGTACAGTGCCATAACAGAGAAATTCGATGAAACGGCCCTTGGCGATTCGATGAAACGGCGCTCGATGAAACGGCGTTCGATGAAGTGTCTGTTCATTCGATGAAACGGCTTTCGATGGAATGGCGAAAAAGTGAGGTTCAGGCTTGGTCGGTGATCGCTACTGTTACACTCGTACGCTTTTTCAGTTCTATCTCGCATAAATAAGCTTCTTGCTCAAATAAACAGGGGCATCTGACTTTTCGCTCATCTTGGCCTTTAGCGCGACTTTTAACAAGTTCTAAAACAGACAAAGCAAAAGTGATTTAATTAGCTCAGGATTATAGGTTGAGCCAAATATTTACAAAGTTCGAGGTTCCCTGAGTCGTCTTTTGTATTCAATTCCCCCTTCCCTCACCACCACTTCCTTCCTCTAAATAAACAACGTAGATTATTTTATGAACCACCAGTAATAGAGCGTACTCGCAAAACGTCTATTTAGCGTAAGAAAGCGTAAGAAAGGCCTTGTTTAAATGTTCGAGCAATGAACTGGTTTTCTTACTGTGCGTGACACAGCTAGCACGAAACACAATATTGACATTTTTAAGCAAGGGCCATGCAGAATTTAGTATATAAGAACAAATTGATGCCTCGTAAGCTGGTGCCCAACGGAAGCACTCTTTACCGAATTGCTTGTTTAAAAATAACAACTTTTCAAACATAAAAATAAAACAAAATAACGCCACTTTTTTGGGGGCCACTAAATATACTGATTTACTATGTTAGCGTTGATTGTGCAGCGGTATGCGTACATTACGCGACACTGTTAGCGCAAACACGACATCGGCGCTTTTTGCTATTTTCCCCAGCAATGTATCAACTCAAACTAAAATCTACTGCTTAGGTTGGATACTCGCATTAACAGTCTCCTCAACATCATTCACTTCTAACAAGAAAAAAAAGTTGTAAACACCGGCGATAGTTTGTTTGTGCTAACTGCGTGGCGTAGGGTACCTAAAAAGTGTTTTACAATGTTAAATACAATTTTGTGTCACGTTAAAAAAAGTTGTCTGCTTTTGCTTTAGTTTCTTTGAGACAACACAAATACTTCGAAGTGGTGGCCCGTGCTATGGTACCGATACAAGCAACGTTGAACCATAAAGGCCTGTTCACACATGTAGCGCAGCGCTACAAGCGGAGCGCTGACCTCGCGCTAAGCGCGTGCTGACGGGAGCGTTC